GGAGCCGGTAAGAGGCTCTCGGTGCCGGTGCAAAGCCAGGGTCAAGTCAGAGCAGCAAGCCGGGCACCCGAGAGGAAGGAGGCTGCAGCTGGGAAAGCTGCTGGGGGAAGCCGAGCCGCGCAGCCTTACCGGGTCCTCGTCGTTGAGCAGCTTGGTGAGCTCCGGGATGGCGCGCGTGGCCAGCTCGGCGTCGTCCTGGTAGTTGATGAGGTGCACGATGGCAGATTTCAGCATCTGCGAGGGCTCGGCCAGGCGCTGCACGTTGGTCTGCTGCCCCTCCTCCTGCGTGCTGATGAGCAGCGAGCGATCCTCCACCGTCTCGGGGTACATGGCGGCCCGCACGCGCTGCGCCCGCGTCATGGCCAGCTGAGCCTCCATGTCGGCTGCGGGGAGAGGCGGCGTGAGGCTCCGGGCTCTCCCGAGGAGCGTTCCCGGCGCCGCTTCCCGGGTTCCAATTCGCGGAGCGGGAGCGTGGCGCAATGACAGCGGCAATGTCAGCAGCCCCGGCGCGCTCCGCGAGGAGCCGGGGCTGCAAGGCGTAAACAGATACGGCGGCGCAGAGATAAGGCAGCACTTAATTAGGCAGCATGATTAAGCAATTGTCACACAAGGGCTGTTAATTAAAAAATTAAGGGTATTTGCGACTTGGGACCAGATGGCATTGGGGATTAGGAAAAGGATACGGGGGTCTCCGCTCCGGAGGCTGCCAGGACAAGCGAGTGCAGAGGGCAGAGCTGCAGTAGCCGGGAACCTGCGCCGGTCCCACGCCGTGCAGAGCCGCAGGTGCCACCGTGGAACGGGGACCGTGAACGTTTGCTCCTCTGCACGGGCTCTGCCTCTGCGTGGGACCTGGCGCTTGGGCTCTCAAGGCCTCTTCCTGCGGAGCCGGCAGCCGCTCCGTGGGCTGGGATCAGCTGTTCCCATCCCGCGCCAGCCGCCCGGCGCACTCGGATGCGCGCTCGGCCGCGTGCCATGGGATCCGCGCCGCCGGAGCCGCGCAGGGGAAGGAGGGCAGGAGGGAGAGTATTTTAAGCAGCAGCTCGCAGGGTGCGGAAGGCGCCATGGAGCGGTGCCCAAAAGGAGCACAGCGAGCGGGAGAGCGCGTGGGCGAGCTGGGAGCAGGCAGGAGCCGAGCAGCTGAGCCCCTACCTTGCGCCTGGCTCTGGGCCTGGCCCCCTCCCTGGCAGTAGCTCGTCGTGGTCTTCTTGATGGTGTACTGCTTGCTGCAGAGCTCGTCCTCGTCGGCCAGGCACCGCTGCTGAAGGGAGGGCACCTGCGTGTTGACGCCGGAGTGGATGCCCGAGTCGTAGGTGTAGGTCTGCTGCCACTCGGTCACCTTGATGGGCTGCTCCATCATGTTCATCACCTCCATGGCTGCTCTGCGGGGCAGCGGCGGCACAAGTTACACCAGGGCACCGTGGGCACCTTCCTATAGCCCGTTCGCCCTGCGCAGCCGATCGCTATCTGCCCTCCAACGCGAGGGAGATGAAAGGCGGCACCGGGATGACGAAGCCCCGGCTCAGCACTTTGCCGCTCGTGTCGGGGCACGCAGGGCGCGCGCGGCACCGGGGCCGGGCACGGCCGCAGCGCTCCGCGTGCCAGCCACCTCGCAGGGTCCTTCCGGGACGCAATTGCAACTAAAAATACCCCGACGGAGCCAGGGGCCCAGCTGGGAACGTGCAGGAGCCAGGTTGGCTCTCTGCAGCTCTTGCAAATATCCCGGGAATGAGGGAGCGGAGGGCGGCGCGAGCAGGATCAGGGGCTCCAGACCCCTTCTAGAGCCTGCCCGGGGGCTCTGCGTGGGGCAGGGAGGGCCAGGGCGCCCTGCTGAGCTCCGCAGAGCCCCATGTCACCGGCCAGGGTCCCCACTGCAGGTTGGGGGCAGTGTGGGGAGGTCCCAGCCCCTCTCCCCCTGCGTGAGTCTGCAGTGAGGCCCCGGGGCAGAGGATGAGTCAGAGTTTCAGACGCGATAAGAGGTGACGGGAGCCGCTGCCGCCCGCTTCCCAACAGGCGCAATCCCCAGCGCCAGCAAACAGTGATTCACGCAGGAGGCTGCGCCGGGGGCTCCGCTGCGGCGCGGGGCCGGGCCGGCTCCGCGGGGCCGGCGG